GTATACCTTCGCTTGAAAGCGCTCCACAACAGAGATTTACATGTACAATATGCCCCTGAATAAGGGACTGCTTTCATTTCCACATAAATACAGTACATGAGATAGCAAAACAGACTGTGAGATCTTCCAAGTAATCCTGCACAAAACAGGAGGGCACATATATTCAAACTTAAACCTGATGCTGATCACTACAGACAAATAACTACATTTAAGTCTAAACTTTCACAATTTAAGATGAGTTCACAAATATTTTCTTAAATTAGGATTTACTTTATTAATTGCAATGGTACTTTACCTTCAATAATATATTTTTGGAAAGCATTAAAAATAGATGCAGATGGTAATACAGAGCAAACAAGTGAAATATATGAAAATGGTTTTAGACATTTAAATGTTTAATATAATTCTTTATTTAATTTTTTTTCCTGTGGTTTATAGATTAATTCCTCATTCCCGTCAACTGCACAAACTCCACTTGCACTCCCTGGCAAACCCACTTTTTGTGCTCGATGCCTTAAAATTGTACTTTCCATTTAAATGACTGTTACATTTATTATATTGTATTTCTATACTGCTGTAACATGTGGAATAAAGGTTAGCTCTGAAAACCATGGCCTGATTGTTGTTCACATCCTACAGAAGTAAAAAAAACGAAAGGTTTGGCAAGAAGGAAGAATCTTGTGTGGGCAAATGTAGCATCATGCATGAAAGGTGCCTTTTTTGAAAAAAAAAGATGATAGGTGTGTCACCACAGTTTGAAGACAAATTTCATGGCAAATGTAATCATTATGTAATTGATGTTGTTGCGCAGTTAATGTTTCAAATGTGGGACATATAGCAAAACAGAATTTTTGCTCATAAACGTTATAGCACTTAGCAAATCACATGAGAGTGAGACCTTTTTTCCTGTGGCATTATGCTTGTGTACAGCAGCATGTTCTGAAATATTAAAACAACAAGAAACATCAGTAATGTGCCAGTGAAACTATTAGCACACATGAAAAACTGGAAAATATTTTACTCAAAAATTAGTTTTGTTGTTGAAATTTGAGGACATATTCCTACATGAACAATAATTACTGTTCTTATACATATTTAAAAAAACTGAACCAATATATTACAAATATATTATGGTCCTTTATTATCTGGGATATAAAAAAAATAAAAAATGTACCTACAAATTATGTGAAGGGCAAATCCATTTAGGGATTGTACATATTTACCTAAAAAATCACATGAATACCATTAGTATGAAAAACTGTAGAAATTGTTTTCTGGATAAGGTACAAATAAAATGTACTTGGACTCATTACGTG